GTGAGATTCAAACTCATATTCACCATGAGTTATTAAAAGTTCTCTCATTCAATTGTTCTAGAACTTTCGGTCTCGCTTTTGATCTTTTGATTTTTTGCTATTGGTGTAAATCGAACACATTTGTGAAGTTGTTTAAATATGTTGGATTTTAAATATATTAGATTTTAAACTGTCATACAATTTTTTTCATCAATAGACTGTAATTGGAACCATAACTCTTATTTATTCAAATTGTATTAATATGTAAAGATCAAGTGTATATCATCGTTAAATCTTCTATAATAAAATCAATGAAACTTTAAAATCGTTAAAATTCACGACTTCCGCCGCATTGCGCGGGCACACAACTAGTGTATATATATATATATATATATATATATATATATATTATTCCTTAAGTCCCGTAGGTTTTATCCTTTAGAATTAGACTCATTTTCTCATTGAATATTGACTCAAGAATCAAAATCATCTTGTTTCTTTAGATTTTTCTTAGAGAGTCATTGCTTAGAGCTATGTCAAGGTTTCAAATGAAAAGAATATAAGATTTTTATTTAAAAACTTCTTTTAACCAACTTTTAGGAAATCTTTTTTTGTAGAATTGAATGTCATTTAAGGTGCATCTTAAATAAATCTCTATTCCAATCTCGGAAATCCTCATACCATTCCGGAGATTGTCCTAATAAAATACGGCCAATATTCTTAGCTATTATCAATAAAGGTAATTTAACATATTTTCTAAAAATTGCTTGAGCTATTAACAGAATACTTATTTTTTGTCTTGTGGAATGTTCTCCCATATTTCTTTTCCCGTTTCCTGGTAGTTTTTTATTTATTTGATATTCTTGATCTAAAATTTCTAATTCTGACTTTATAGCTAACCAATCTCTAATATTAGAAAAAAGTTTCATTAGGTCGGATATAGGAAAAGGAAAATTTTCCATTTTTTCAGAAAGAAAAAGCGAGGAATAGGCATTTCCTAGAAATGGTCCCCAAATAACCACTTTATGCCTTTGAGTGCGCATAGATCCTTTGATTACGGCTCGAAGAAAATCTAGTTCTTCCAAATAACTTTAGAAACCCAATTCTCTTTTAAATCTTATAAAAAGATTATAATCGTCGAAATTAGACTTCTTAAAACTTTTGAAAGTTAGGCTCAAAAAACTTAGACTAGTTATACGTTTAAAAGATATATATATATATATATATATATATATAGGGGCTTAATCAAATGAGAACTAAGTTGTTTGTGGTAACTGTAAGAATCAACCTCAACCATATATTAAAAAAATCAATG